CTGTTTAATGGATACCTTTAAATCGTGATTCTATTTAGTTTACACTGTTATTCAATTTTCATAAAAATTCTAAAATTCCTTTCTCACTGTCAGGAAATGTGATTTCCTCCTATCAACCCTTACATTCCAAGGTGGTTAAGATTGAGTGCATACTTCTCTACCAGTCAGAAAATTTTCTGGTCTAAGAGGTAAATTCGACCAGCCAAGTCACTGTTTTAGAAGAATTCAAAGTACTAACAGCAAGAGTACAGGAACAGTCATTCTTCTAAATAATTTGGAGGTGAAGTGGCAGAACAGAGGATAAAGGATTAATATGCTATGGGTTTATTGCATTGATACATTTATACACAAGCACCTTCTAAACCTTTGTCTATGAGAAGGTAGTCATGAAGGGTCGAGCTGAAAAAGTGTTATTTCAATGCATAACATTTATACAAATTTATAAATAAACCCAATCCTAGACATGTATTTATAAAAAAACCCAAGCACTATTTAAACATAGAAACACACCCAAAATCAACCCCAAAATAAACAATTGTATATTTTTTGGGTGTGTTTATAAATGGGTTTTGAGTATGTGTAATGATGGGTTTTGGGTGTGTTTATAAAGTGTTTTGGGTGTTGGGTTTTTTTTATAATTTCAGCCCCTATTTTGGGTGTTTTAGTTAAACTCCCTAACATTTAAGAGCCCAGAGTGATTAGGTATTCTCTTCAAGAAAACGTCATTTTATCATTTAACTTTCATCTTTCTTACTTCAAATTAGTCAAATATGCTGCAATTCTGTTATCTGAACTAAGAAGAGACAAGCACGAAAAATCTTTAGAAACGTGTGAATTCTTCTACAAGAACTCAAGTGCAAACAGTAAAAATACCTTAATCCAAAATCTCAGACTTTCATCAACAGATTTGAATGCCATAAGACGGCTATCTGCAGCAGATATGGCAACATCATCACGTTCCATGTAGGCAATGGGTCTTGCTCCAGGCTTTAACTCTCTCACAAAAAATTCATTAAACGTCTACATCCACAAATTTAGAAATTAGAAATGTTTATCATCTTCATAATGCAAAAGACATTGTTGCACGCCAAAAATTCCAGCAAAAGCAAGAAATCAATAGTAAAATAAGCTTGTCCTAGGCATAAAATAATCAGCTAAAAGAATGTATGAAACTTGAAAACACGGTTAATAAATTAAATCATAAGATGAAATATTAAGAAATGTAAAATGTGTACAATTTTTTCCCTTTGTTTTTTTGTATGGATAACAAACAAGGATTTTATTGATGAAAAAGGAAAAACGATACAAGTAGGAAAAACAGGATGCCCATTTAATCCTATTAATACCCTCAAGCTTAAAGACAACTACATTTAATTCAAAGCTCCGCCCAATTTAGAAAAATTACACGAAAAGGAATGCTTCTGAAATGTTTTGACAAGCATCTGCAGAATTTAACCCTTAGGCTATAAATTTAAAGCACGAACACCCCCTCAAAACATTGGTTCAAACATATTAAATCAAAGTGATGGAAGCATTGATAAGCCACACAAGCAGAAATGTTTTCAATATGTAGATAAAATAAAACAAGATGAAATTCATCGACTTCAAATGTACAGCCTACCTTAAAATGTTCCAAAGGGTGCTTGACTTCAGCCAAATTGATTTGATCCTACAACAACCAAGTTAAACTTAATCAAATGGATGTAATTTCAGCTTAGCATAAATGTACACTACATTATTCAAACTCGAGCATTACAATAAAAACAGTTCAAAACAGTGAATAAAGTTTACATACACATAACAATTTGATAAGAAACACACTTTCATTAAAAAGACAAGAAGAAAGAAAGAGGAAGACCAAAGAAAGTGGACAAGATGGCCACTACAAAGAAAGAAAAAAATAAAAAATCATACATACAAATGCTAGCTAAGGCTAACACAGTACAACACGTAACACACAACAGCTTCCCAGCATAACTAAATGTGAGTGAAAGATAAACCCTAAATTCTGTAGAAACAGGAGCCCGAAGTACGGACAAAAAACAAACTTTATTCAATAACTGCTCTGTCCCAGTGTCAACAAAGTCTTCAAAATCCTTTTATTTCCCTCCGGCCAAACTCCCCAGATCACAGCCATACCCATGCAACGCAACAGAACTTTGGCCTTCTTCCCCTTGCCAGAAAATTTATGCTTCTCACAAAGAAAAGAAAAACAGTCCCTTGAAATTAGCTAGCTTACTTCCATCTCCCCAAACATCCTCAACTGAAGTCAAAAAAACCCACAGGACAATGTAAGAAAACATGATCCAGAGATTTATGTTCCCTGAAGGGTCAGGTAATTACATATCTGTTGTCCAGGGAACATAAGATATGGAGCATGCTCCTCCATCTTATAAAATAGAAAGCTTAGTTTTGGGCTTCCAAAAATGAAAATGTTCTAGGCACTGCATCACACACAAACATCCCAGCCTTTTCCAAGTATTTATTGTAGGATAAATGTACCAGCGTATCAATTTCAATGTGTATGTTCACCCTCAATAACAACACATCCCTGCCTTTGTCTGTATACACGGCCACCTTTCATAACACACCATCAAACCATCTGTACACTTTTAAATTTCATTTCTGACAATAATTATGTGAATCATGACACTGCATCATTTCAAGAAAGTTCAGAACAGCATAATCATAATGTTATTCTAAGGAAAGAGTCCTGCCTTAAAAAACTCGACAAATTTTGGTATATCTTTAGCAGATTCCACTGAGTTCATTTTCTTCCCCTGCTTTTCAGAGAGGCTCTGCAAGATATCCTTTGCCCCTGTGTTGAAATAGTGAACCACGGTAAAGAAATCAAGATTATGCAACGATCATAAACAAAGAACTCATAAAAACTAAAACCTGCTACTAGTTAGCAAACGAACTGCAGAAATTATTAATTATTATTATTATTCTTCTTCTTGTTATTTTGGATAGGCAATTGACAGTCAGTTCAAAATGAAGGCATCTACTCTTGAAGTAAATTTAGTGTTGGTAGATTTACTATTAGCGTTAAGAGCCTAACAAGTTACAACCAACCTGTCCGCATGGACAAAGACCCTGAGCAAACTGAAACTACAGTTGTTAATATTGGATTGCTGAACTTATATTAAACGCATCTACAAAGCAAATTTATTGGAGGATGAGGAAGGCAATATTACTGACAGAGAAGATGGAAGGTGATTGAGATCAATGGTTGTCTTAGTAGGTTGTTAGTGTAAGCTAGATGGCTTAACACGAGTTCATGGTTTTCTGGTGGAAAGGAAGCCTACGCAGGTTTCTCATTTACTGCTTTTCACTTTGGAGGAAGAGGAGAGATTGCTTGCTTTTCATTGATTCTGAAAAAGGAAGACCCATGCTTGCTCATCACAAATTTATCTTCTCGATGAAAAAGTTATGCTGAGAGCATGGACCGCTGCCCATTCGCTTCAAAAATGTGTTTATTACACTACCACAAGTGTTAGGTTAGGAATAATGGGTGCTTGGCCCATAGATTCCTACCTTTTGTGGATGGAGGTTTTTCTTGGGGTTGGTAAGGTAGTCCATTCTTTGGAAATGTGCAGTCTTGGTGATAATTTAAATTGACTGGATGAAAAAGAAAAACAGAACACTTGAGGAACATATTCCTGGCATCTTTACAAGGTTCATAATCTAAGCATTTTAAAGGCACCCAGAGAGGAAGTGGAATCTCTATGGGAGAGGAAATATTTTTGGCATCTTGACAGGGCTGATAGTATAAGTGTTTTAAGGGCACCATTTAGTCGAATTCATCTTGATTAGACACGAGGTAAAAACTAACTTAATGTTTTTCTGTAATTTTTCCTGTTCATGTATTAAGCTTTGAACACCTCATCCGTCTTTTCTCATATCTTTTCCTTTACGTTTTGTAAAATTAACGTTCTACAAAAATAATAACACAGAACTGAAAATGAAAGGAAGGTATAGAAGGGCATCAGCATGATATTTTTTATGGGTGATCTAATTCTGATAGGTAATATCGAAAAATAAGAAACAACATTGCATCAACAATTTATTGAGTAATACAAGATAGCAATTGAAAGAAAGAGGAAGGTGCTTATAATGTAATCTCTGCAACTTCTTTAGATAAACATCTATTCATAAATGCAACTTAATACCTGTATCCAGGAGGCCAAGCCCTAGTTTTGATTGGTAAATGGCTCTCATTGACAACACAATCTTTTCATCTATTAGTTCTTCCACCAGTCTCTTTGTCCTCCGATCAAATACCTAAATCGATAAACTGTTAATGGAAAAATAAAGTAGACCAGAATTATAGCTTGGAAACAAAGAAGATTGAACCACATCTGCTTCAATGAGATGCTCAGGAAGAAAAAAGAAAAAAATTAATAGGTTACATAGATACTATGATGCATACCAGTTAAGCTAGCCAGTACTATGATCAATTTGTTATTATATCATGAAAAACCCATATAGGGAAATTAAAAGCCTTCCATAGCTACATATAATATTCTGGGCCTCTCCACCCATAGCCAATTGGTTTTGGGTTGGACTTTCAAACAGGCTAAGTTGCCAACACAGGAAGTGATCCATATAACTTAGACTTCATAAATGATATCAAGGACATCTAACATGTCCGCATAACACCTTACCACTAGAGGTCCCATTCTTGTGGTACGTTATGATCTCACTAAAAAATTTCATTATAATACAAACAAGACTCAAGTACATTACACTCATGCAAGTAAGTTTTCACATATCTGCGTCTCTTGTAACTGGTACATCATTTTAAACTTTCAATTCATCATTATGACTTAAAACATTGTTTACAAACATACAGCATCAGGGGCAGAGCAGAAACTACATGAAAGAGAAAATGGGAACAGTATTGCAGCTAAAACATTTCATGCCTATTACAGAAAGGGTCCCATTTCAAATGAGAAAAACCCATAAAAAAAAATTTCTGCCACTAATCTTAGCTGATTTAAAAAGAAAAAGCTAAACCAAGAAAGTATACCACAATATGGTTAGCACTTGATCCAGAATTTAAACCAACGTCATAAGATGAAACATGGGCCCATTCACTGAGTTTAAACATCCACCTACATATAAAATTTGATGTTACTATTCCAATCATACCACAGATTGATAGTAATAACCACTGAACTGAAATGAACCGCAACAACAAGAATTGTCTGCAATAAGAAGCCTGATGATATAACACAATTCTTACCCATAAGAAGCTTGTTTATCAGTCAAAAATCCTCCAGTCATGACCTGTTTTCCAGTTCCTTCATCGAAACATAGGGTCAAATGTATCATGTAGTTCAGCTTATCAGAAACTTCAAGAGTCTCACCACAAACAGGACAGCAATTCATTAGTGGTTCCCTGAAAAACAAAATAGTTCTGCTCATCTTTCCAAGAATGGGACCTAAAGGAAAATACATTCTACATTCAAACATGTTGCAATTATATCAAACTGAAAATCATGGTACAATCTAAAGAAATGAAATGAAAAATCCAAGCTCAGGTCTGACATTAGAAAAAACAGTCGTGAAATGGTATGAATCTGAATTGTGAGAACTATAACACTTCTTCCAATGTATATACCAGTGGGTTGAACTAATTTAATATAAATTTTCAGTAAATTTTCTCACTGGCCTAATACGAATGTGCTGGTCAATGGTCTCAAGTTGTACTACATGAGAAACATTTTGTAACAAAATCAAATAAAACATTTTGCAAATATCTATAAATACGATCTATAACACAAAACGAACATATCTATAAAAAAACAATAAATTCACATTTCTTACATAATAAGAATTTGCAACTGTATAGGCAAAGTTGTTTTCTTTCTTCTTTTTCTTTTTTTTGGGGGTCTGATTATAGATATGGAGATCAAAATAGCAATATATACAGTGGTAAGTTCAAACTTTTTGGTCTAATATCTACATGTATAATTACTTTTCTTGTTGAATGGCAAGAAGGGCAGCCAACTCATCCATGCTAACAACACCATCCCCGTTCTTGTCAGCAGCTTTAAACATCTCCTCTTTCTATTAAGGAAGGAAGATATATTTCTGAGACAATGGAACCAAAAGGAAAACACAAAACACAAACACGCCAACAACAAAAATATATCACAAAGGACTTCTGAAATTGGAGGAAGCCAACTCTATGGATTCCAATCCACAAACCCAAGCCAAATGTAATGTGGGTTTTGTGATTAATTGCTTATTTTGTGTGTATTGAGAATTTGAGATCAAATTTTTAAGAACACACCAACAGCCGCTTAGACTATAGGAGTTAGGCTCAGATGAGCCAAGACCTGTGAGAAAAAAATTGAAAATGTGTATTAAGTGTGGTTATATACTGGGTTGATGATGAACCCATGTGAATTAAAATAGGTTCATTAAGTTCAAACCTTGTTGGCTGCCACTTGATTCCCAAAAGCATTAATTAAGTCAGAAAATTCAGAGAAGGAAAGCTTTCCATCTTCATTATAATCCTGTGGATATTACAAAGCCTCAGAATTGGGACATACTACTATAGATAAGAATTGGGACAACATTGAAGAACATTTCTTCCCATATATGTAGGACATACCACTATAGATAAGATGCGCCTTGCAAAACTCTTTTCTGTTTCAATTGGATCCTGTCAATTTTTCCAATGAAGTGTTATTACTCCTAAATATAGACTTTGTTACCGAAGAAAATGAGGTTTATACATGGCATACCTCAACAGAGCATGAAACAGAAATTTTTCCAACAATTTTGTCTGATGTCGATGGATCTAACAGGTCCAATATCTCAGAATTGGAGTTGGAATCTGAATCCTGCAACAGCAACAATTTATCCTCAGAAGAGAGAGTGATAACAAGAATCAGTAAGAAGATGAACATAAAAATCTGAAAACATAAGAATCAGTCAGTAAGCCAACTAATTCCATACTCAAAATGCGCTTAATCATAAATATTGAATGCTGCCAGCAGAAGGAAAAAAAAAACGCTGCAGAGTAAAACAAACTCAAAACTTATAAACAAAAGAAATTTGGGAAAGGGTTCATACTCAATTTAATGTTTCTCAGAAGTTCACCATGCAATTTCAGCATCTCCTTTTTAATCATTTTTATGGTATTTACCTCACTGCAGAAACTTTTTCTCTTGGCATACTTGGAACGTAAAAATAAAAAAATCCCAAGATATTAGGAGCTAGAATATTGGCCCCACGGGCCATGATTCGTATCAATGGAAAATTGTAGTTAGAACAATTAAATTCTAGACATTTCCAAGGAAAGGCATATATGTTGGTATGGAAAGCAAAATGAAAATATTATATGGCAGGGATGCAAAATCAAGGTGGCACTCAAACACAGCAGAAACCCCAAACTACAATACATAGAAGGGGCCTGATAGGCACTCAAACATCTAACCAAACCACAGCAGAATAGGAACTTGGCACCTACATTATAACAGCCACAACCATTTACCCAGCACGGCTCTATCCTTTTTTTATGAGAGCTCTACTCCTCTTATTGAGTTACCAATGGCTTCCAATGACCTTTATTTGGCACTCACTCACCACCCCCACCTCAGATTACAAGTCAACTATCTTGTTCACAATTCCAAGTACATTTTTTATTTGATGCGAAAAATTTGGCTTCCAAAATTATTATTTACACATGAATTTACTGAAACTTTGACAACTTTTATGATTCTTTCACAGATTATGTCTCTTTTTTATTCTCAAAAAGTAAATAATAAGATAAAAGTGATTCCTCTCATTGAGCTACCGATGGCTACCCCTCCCTCCACTATTGGTCTCTGAACAATATCCCAAATAATTGGCTGATCCTATCTTCCTTCATCACATCCTTCCCGCACAAAATCCCATATCAACTTCTTAGTCCTCCTTGCAACCCTATTAGGCAATCTGAAAGATTGGAAGGACGCTACTCAGCAATATGCCCCCAAGGGAAGGCAAAGTAATTCGAAGGGCAATTCACTCCCTCACTTGCCACTTCTTGTTAAACAGACTCCCAAAGCCTATAATCCACCAGAAGTAGAAGAGAAAAGAACATTAATTAGCTTTCCAATTAGAATAATGTCAGATAAAGATATGTTCCTAAAATCAGGATATACAGAAACCCAAAGTGCTGCCCAAAACTTGACCATCTCCCACACCTCCTCCACTTCCATCCCCTAACATCTTCAAAGATCCACCGATTCCAAAATAGTCAGATAATAGCCATCACCACCATACACCCCATATTTATTTAGCCTTTTTTCCACCGCCCAAAAGTCTATAACCCACATTGACAACAACTAGTACACTCTTGGCCATATTAATCTTCCGGTCTTGGACTAACACAAAAGATTGACAATCTGAACCAAATTGACGATTTCCCTGCCTCACTTGTCAAGAAAAAAATAGTATCATCCTCACTTGTAGTTTTCAACATTATTCATATTATTTCCATTAACCAGTCACTAAAATTTGAAAAGAAAGTATGTTTAATTTTCCAATCCAAATTGAAGCAGTTCCTAAGCCTTTGGGCAAGCAATTAGTATATGGTGTATAGATTTAAATAAACTGTTGCAAAGGTGACAAGATGCATTCTCCCAGGAATGAATATGGAGTCTCTATACATTTGTACCAAGCTTCTTCTGAGTTACAAAAATACATAAGTTTCCAAAATCAACTCCATTGATTTTAATACCACAAAGCATAATTGTTGTAACACACACACACACATTAATAAATAAATAAAAAGAAAGAAAAACAGTACATCATTACTGGAGCTTGTGGAAAAGTGCAATTAGAGAGAGTACCATGTAGTGGCACAAAATAAGAAGTTAAACATGTCAACAAGAGAGAGAGAGAGAGAGAATTCAACAAAGAAGGTTGCTCACCCTGGTTAGAAATTCAAGCAGATCAATTTCACAATATCCTATCAGATTGTTTCTGGACATTTTATTCGTCTGCATTGTATGATAAGTTGAATAAGTGAAAATATAAAAATTATACCTGAAGAACACTTATACATTTTCAATTTGAATATACAACAGAACCGGGAATGAAAACTTTGACATAGAGAAATCTCTTAAATAAAGAGCATACAAGACTGTCAGATACAATAAAAATAGTGTATACAAAAAGAAAAGGCCTTAAATTTGAGATACATACCAAAAAAAGAAAAAGAAAAAAGGGGTAGACTACATCTGAAGCAAAACATGAATTTACACTTATAAAAGGAAATAGAAGATAAAAAGGCCATTACATTCTGCAGGAAATAATTCATGGAACACCAGATATAAACATGATTACCATATGGTCATCACTAAATTCATGTATCGTTGTATGCATTCAGTTATTCACGTATATGTATAAACTTATGATTCATTGCCAGCATTAATTTTGATTGCTTCATAAAAAAAATCTACAGTTGTAGCTTTTGATTATATATATAAACATCATGTAAGTGACTGCCATTAATACTATAATTCAAATATATACATACATATGTGGAAGAAAAAAATCTAAGAGAAGTGAAAATGAAGTATGCATCTATTTAACTCTGAGACCCAGAATATAATGGTAGAGACATGCAACGGGTATCTGGAGTGTATGCTGCGTATCCAGTTTACAGTTTCAGAAATTTGGAAAGTTATCCTAAATTATGGGACTATATAGAACATTGCCCATGTGTATTTGGGAAGTTCCTAGAACATGATTAGCATATTTCTCCAACTTGTCAATGTGTGAGACTGCACTTTGCATACTAGCGGCTTTCTACATAAGAAACTTTGAATTTCCATTTCCTATATCTCATACAATACAAAAAATCAATACGAATCTATAAGTGAAAAAGCATTCCAAATTCTATAAATCTATGCCATGCCAGCCACCACAGCCATCCCTAAATAAGGAGACCTACATATCCGTCCTTGTCACATGGAAGAACATACCTCTTTCAGGACACTACTAAATGGAGATTGTAAGTAAACTGAAAGCAAAGCATACCTCATAAATGGATATCCTTGCAACATGAGGCCCATTTTTTTCCAAAAGAAGCTTCTTCTCCTGAAAGTCAAAGGGAAAAGTTTCGAAGGGTTATTTTCAGCTCAGTTGCTTGCTCGTACTAAGAAGCAAATGTGTGTGTGTGTGTGTGTGTGTGTGAGAGAGAGAGAGAGAGAGAGAGAGAGAGTTGAGTTTTTCCACAATTTCAAAGACTGTAATGAAGGTTCCAGTACTTTATCAGATTACCAAGATTACCAAAGTGATCCAAAAAGCATACCTAATACTAACAAGTGTGTCAGCCCTAGCATAAAAGAAATGCACTCAGCAAATTAATCTCAACTTCCCCACAGCATCTCTGATGTGTGTGTGACAGATTATGTATATTTTGTACATCACAGAGATACGGAGATCTAAAACCAAAAAGAGAAAATACAGGGAGATATACTGAGTTCTTTCACAGATGGCACTAAGTGAGATATATTAAGGTTTTGAAAAAAGGCCAAGCACTCATATGTTGCCATAATAAGATACAATATAGGGTTTCGGGTACTTACAGAGTTCCAAACAGGCTTGTCAGTTCTGCAACACCAGTAAAAACAAATTAATACAAATAAGCTGGTGTGTTCTGTAAAAAAATATATATACAAAAAATGCAATATTATCTCATAGGGCAGACTTTGTGTAGAATACAGAGAAATGAATGTCAGACAAGCCAACTAAGGTGGAATTTTTTATGCTACATATCAATCAGTAAATTTCTGATCTACTGAGACAATGTGTTACAAAAATTTAAAACTCCTTATAATAAAAAATAAATAGACATGCACATTTCTGTTCTAACAACATTGCTAATTAAATTTTTATGAAGTTATGCAATAATAGGAAATCCATGTCATAAATCGAAAAATCGTCCTAAAAGGATGAACATTGAAAATTTGAAAATAACAATTTCTACAGTTGTGTGACCCTTCAACCAATTCACTTGGCCTTTTAAGCGCTTTCTTTTGCGGCACTTTAATTTTTTTGTGAGAATAAACAATTACATACAAAGTTACTAAGGGGGCATTTGGTTCCCGTTTCCTAAAAACAACTGTTCATTTTATGAGATACAAAAGAAACGGGAAACAAGTTTCTTTTTTGTGCTGGCCTGAAGATGAAAAACAAATTTGGTGTAGTGTTTTTAAAATTTTATTATTAAAAAAACAATTTCAAGATACGGTATACAAAAAGCAGATGCATTTTATATTGGTAAGCAGTTAAAGACAATATCTCGTATTTAAGAATAATAGAAACAAAAATGATAATTAAAAACATAGGATTCTGAATCGGAGAGGTCATTTCTCCTCTCCATAAAGAATTTCATTGCAAACAGCATTTTCATATCTACGGGCATACAAGATTTCGGTGGGATTTTACTGCAAAGCTGCAAACAATGTGACTGCATCAGACAAGGAATGTTGTGAACTAGAGGACAACTTCCTTAACCCTGGGAGTTCACATGACTATTGATGATGAGGATGTTGATCTCAATTTTCAGTGATCCTTAAGATCAGAGTCTAAAGGAAAAGGACAATGGATGATCACTGCTTAAAGAGATGGGACAAAACAAAAACTTACCTGTAAGTTTGTAATGAGACACGACTCAAAACGTTAAAAAGAGGAAAAGGGTTGCAGAAACTAGCAATTTCAGGCACTTGTAGTTCTTTCTATTTTGGTGTTTCTATCTATCTATGTGCTCATTATACTATTTAGTTATTTTAAGAAAACAAATAAATTAATGAATGAATGAATGCACAGGATAGTTGGCATTCAAAGATAAAGATTCGAAAAGGAGAAAAAGAAGCTTCTCAACAAGGAGAAAAAATAACAAAGAGACAAAGAGGCATTACTGATCGGAGATATTCGTACGGAAGGTCTGTTCTCCAAAAGATACACAGGCAAGCCACTTGTCCTTGAACTTCATTTCAGCCTACCACAAAACACAGAAAAACACCAAAAAAAATTTCCCTATTAATTTCACTCACTCCAAACACTGTGATGCTAATTCAATAAAACAAAAAAAACAAAGAACAAGAAACTTACTCGAACGAGAGTGAGCAAAGCGATTCCGGCGAAATTTTCAGCATTCAGGAGTTTGCCATGAGACGGGGAATTTGAGCGACTGCGACGTCGTCGATGAAGGTGAAGTCGCTGCTTCAGCCGAGCGCGACGTGATCCTTTCGACTGTGACTCTGCAGCGCCATTCTCTTCTTTCGAGCTTCCATGCCCCATTGCCTCTCTCTCTCTACCTACGGGGACTGTGATTCTCGCTCTAAACTGTTCTGCTTTTTGATTGGTAATGTTTCCCTGCAATTGGGGACTCGGGAGTATATTCTTCTCTTGTATCTTCTTTTATACAAATGACCAATACAGAAAGAAGGCAATTATTTCTGGAATTTGAAGAATAAAGAAAAGTCAACTTTTACGACAACTCCAAAAAGAAAAATATAATTACCTTTTGGATGATGGACTTGTCAGATCGCACTATTAGTGTACCATACAAAAAGCTTATTTTATGCGGTGACCATGGTGGAAAGCTTTTCTTGTAACAACTAGGATGGACATTGTCGGGTTTGGTTGGCTTTATGCCAAAATTAGACCGAATCAAATAGAGTAATTGATGTGGTTCGGTTTTGATTTGGGTTTAGGGTCGGGCTGTGTCCTAAAGCCTTTCGATTCAGTACAGGTTCAATATTACTTGTATAAATAAAATAATTGAAATAACTCGAGTTCAATGGACTAAATTTTTATTTTAGTCCCAAAAGCTAAAATAATCTGATAAAATTATATATTTACAGAGTACCATATAACCGCACGGCTATACTATTTAAATATATTAATATTTTAAAAGTATCGCCGAGCAGCTATAATCAAATATTTTAAAAGTATAGCCGCCAGACTATACTGTTCAAATATATATATATTTCTTTCTTTATATATTTAAGTGTGATTGAGTAGTAATTGTGAGTTCCCTCTTCCACATATATTTCTCAGACTCTAACCCTAGAACAAACTAGGGAGGAGAGTTATGTTTATTCGGGGTGGTTGAAAAGAGTAAATACCGGCAAGACTTTTTTTACATGGAAAATTAGATTCAAAAGGCATTCAAGCAATTTTATGCTATGAAATTTAACATTATTTGATCCATAAAATGTTGATGAATCTCTATTTTTTATTGTTGTATTTATGAATTTAACCCGTATTATTTATTATAAATAAAATCAATTTTTTATTCTTATTCAATGGGCTAATAGCTAGAAATAATTAGAATGGTATATATCGGAAAAAATTTAATTATCATTCCCCAATGTAACTTGTATAAATAAAATAATTGAACAAATAACTCTAGCTCAAGCTAAAATCATCTGAAAAAATTGTATATTTAATTGTATATTTAAAGAGTACAGTCCTGATCTCTTAGACTACAGGAGTCCAAGAGATTTGTGGTCACTCACCGTTGGATGTAAATTCAACGGTTCACTCACTCTTGCACTCATTTTAAAAAATTTTTTAAAACCATTATATTAATATCCAACGATAGGTGACCACAATCTCTTGGACTCCTGTGGTCCAAGAGATCAGGACTGTTAATAGTACAGTCTTGATCTCTTGAACTACAGGAGTCCAAGAGATTTGTGATCACTCATCGTTGGATGTAAATTCAACGGTTCACTCATTCTTGCACTCCTTTTAAAAAACTTTTTTGAACCATTAGATTAATATCCAATGGTGGATAACCACAATCTCTTGGACTCCTGTGGTCCAAGAGATTGGGATTGTTTAATAGTATAGTCACGTGACTATATTTTTTAAAATATATTTGATTATTATACTTTTAAAATATATATTACAACTCACTAACCTCATTTATTTGGGTACTGCCAGGGGTTTTAAGTTGTAATGTTTTTTCAGCATAGAATAATAAATAGACCACCAATAAAACTACCAAATGCAAGCTCTATCGATCAAAACCAACAAAGAGGATATTTTCATTTTTATTGATCACAACTTATGTGTCCCCATGTTCTGAAAACTGCGTCATACATCCATTCCTAGTTCAGGGAACAAAATAAACTCTTCTGAAACATTTAATCCATTCAAAAACGTAAAGACATGCTATGTCAGTTTAGGGCAAACGTAATCTCCACATCACTTCAGTTTTGGGAAAAGCTTTGGTGCAACCTGCATTGCAGAATGGTGGTTTTAGTTTAGGATTTTAGCAGAGCGTACAAGACATAAATGGGTCTCAAGACAATCGAAAAGTACTACTTACACATTTGTCAACACAAGACCAGTAGTCGAAATATTGCCCAGTACAATGCTTGTGCCCGCTTTCATCACCTTGGATTCTCTTAACACATGCCTGTAACAAAGTATGAAGCCATTTTTACACACCATTTGCAAACTAATTCAAATGCTGCGTAACACAAACTTTGATTCGGTGTAGGTCACTATTTTGGGAAAGATTTTACAATTTACAGCCAAAGAATGCTACATGTTCAACTCAGGCAAGTTCAGAGAGTACAAATAAGTATTAGAGTCGAGAGTTCAGTTAATATTCTAAATCTTCATGATCTCTTATTAATCAATTCCCTATTATTTAGGGTGAAATACATCTGCTTTTCATTCCCATTTCCTCATTTTCTCAATTTCAAAAGTCAGGCCCATCTTCTGGGAGACCCATGTACTTAAAGAATAGTTCACCTTTTCTGTTTCATTTTTCATTTTATACAGAACAGTTTTATCTTTAAACTGCCAATGTTATGAAGTTCAAATTTTCAAAATGTTGCAAATTACCTGATACTCGAGTAGTGGTTTGACACACTTTGGCTTGCAAGACTCTTCGAGGTACTTCTTTTGATCAACTGGTTCCTCGTCCGCCCTAAACATATATTAACAACCTATGAGAAAAGAAAAACAAACGTGCATACACACACATACAAAAGACAAAGAGCCCAACATCGACGATATCATAGGCTTTACACAAAGGCGTTGAAGAATACATTATTGTAATATCGCTAGAGCAAGAAACTGAACTACCAGTGCCAACTATTAATGGAAAGATCCAGTGCTGTGAACATTCAGAACTCATCATTTTGTTAGGGAGAGAACAGAGTTTCCAGTTAATTCTACCTGATCATGAATTGTTGTGATTTACCTAGGTACTAAGTGAGAAATTAATCTTAGAATATGTATCACCCATTACTGTATTGCCCACATTCTAACCTTTTGAATATGTATTCCATGATTGTTGTGAAACATTGATTCCTCAATATCAAATTCCATTTTGTTTCAATTGAACAAATAAAAAAGTATGCTGTTTCTATTCTTATCATCCCTTAAAAGTTCTCCTATGTGTTATTCTCTTTAATAATGTCTAATTGTAAAAACAGTTCCTGTTTCTTATTTTCTACATCACCATTTATGAATTATCTTCCAAAAACATGATCCTTATGAACATCTTTCCCATTATTGATCTATCATCATCGAAATCTTGGGCATAGACAAAATCAAGCATTTTCTGCACCCGAACACTCTACAAATCTATCATCATTTAAGTGTTGTGGTCCAATTTTGCAATCAGGGTATTGATGTATATAAGGTTTAGGGACACTGATATTCAGATGTAAGATTAAGTGTGATTTTCCAAAGTTTACCAAGTTTACATTGAAACTTTAAGATATTTAGTTGAGCAAAAGTCAGATATTCTCTGGTTTACTTTGTAAGTGTGATTTTGCCTTTCAAAATTCAGATGTACGATATTAAAGCTTTTTTAATAAGTGTGACTTTTATTTCCTTGTTGATAAGTAACATTAAACACCCTTTCATTAATAAAAAAGAACAATACAACACAGGGGCAAGTTGTCAATTCTAATATTTTCATTTCGAAAATGGTTGTGGTGGATTCACCAATCTATCTGCAAGAGGATCACATGAAACTACTCAACTATGACGTGAAGCAAAATAAGCTAAGTTCAATATTACTTAACACATACAACTGATTATTATATACATACATATGGTACAAGTGCTGGTCAACAAATACTGAACATGATCCTTTAATTGGTTAAAGTCAGTGAGCTAACAACTTCATGTGATTATGGAAAAATATCATCATATATTACATTATGATCTAATTAATGAAATTTCAACCCACAAAGTTTAATCTGAGAAGCAACTATAACAATGAAATCATGACACACAAAAACAAAAAAACAAAAAAAAAGAAGACATTCTTGCTTTATTTCCAGGACCACACGAGAAAGTAAGCACGCCAACCCAATTTTCAGTTAAGAATGTAACTAAAAAGATGAAACCATTTAAAGAGCCCTCTGCTTTTAAGGGGGGGAATATATATAGGCAGAAAAACATGAAATGTCAAGTAGTATCATGTTGCTAATCCTAAATGTCAAGTACTACCTTTTGTTTCACTAATCAGCACCCACTAACAAAACAAAACATTACTTGAAAAATATTTTTTCTGACCAAGAGCTCAATACAAGACCTACTTCAAAGCTAACTTGATTCAGAACTTTTTTGACTAACAAACCAAAAGCTCAACGGGATATATAGAGTGGTAATCTATATGTCCATCCTACAAACTTACCTTATAGTACAAAAGATTCACCTCTCTATTGTATCGAGACGATAAATCTTGGTCTGTTTCTAAAAGAATGCTTATCATACTACCTTTTGCCTATCTAACATTTTTTTTTTTTTTCACAAAGGGATATTTTAAACTACAGTAGTGTACGGGGAGGGGGATCGATGCCTTAGCCAACCGACCTGACCCACATCTGCAGCCTATCTAACATTTCTTTTTAACTCCATTGAGTTTTTTTTTCTTCTTTTATTATATTGTATACTAGTCCAATCACCTAGCAATATGAATAAGCAAATATGGCTTGTGGAGGCGCTATCTCCTAACAAGCACTTATTGAAAACCATGAAAAGGGAAATCATTTAATTGTTCAATCCTATTTTACATGCTATCCCAACATTTGGTAGCTAAAGAGGTAATAAGGTGAGAGCAATCATTTGGTGCATTTAGTAAAAGAAGAACAAAGTGAACATTTAACGAATGGTTGCACATCTTGGAATACTATTACAAAAGGTTGACCTCTCGCCACATAAGTTAGAAGATTGGCAAATGCATTCTTCAGGCAAAGATGAAAATGGTCATGGAAAAAAAAGAGATGTGTTCACGAAATGTAAAGAAAACATAACTTACTCTAGTACACATAAATGTTAATATCATCGACAGACGAATTTCAAGCCATAAATAACCCCAATTTAAATAAAATATACACTTACATAGCAAATAAACAAAGAGGAAGTTGAGAAGTCACAAAACTGGGCACAGAGGAGCCTTCAAGTCACCTGACTGCATCACGTAACCAAAAAGAAGTTTCTCAAAATACCCAGATCGAAAAAATGCATAATGTGATTATTTAAATTACTAAACAAAAAACCAGAAAATCTATCACCAGGCAGATAAAACTGAATGCAAAAAGAAAAATGGTAACAGGCACTACTCATAATTACAAGCATTAGATCTGCCAAGAAACAAATTAGCTCAACCCAGTTAACCATCTACCTTCTTTAATTCATACGCAGATTTAAAGAGAAAGATGTTGAATAATCTGAAACAAAAACCATAATAATCAACTACCCATAATTTTTTGTTGGCCTAAAATAATTTCAGATAGGCTCATTCCACATGAACAAATACAGGTCCTGCTCTTTTCTAAAAATAAAAAATAAGAAGGATTAAAGAGTAAAACAGATCTGATAAATAATAAAAATTCGAAAATATGGTAAATTTGTTGGTTCGAAAAATTAATTTAGATGCGTAGAGAAGAACATGGGGTTTACCTCTCAGTCTAGAAGAAGTCTGCGGGAGTTCAAATGAAGAACCGGAGCTAAATTCAGCTATATACTCTTTTGTCTATTGCTTCGGCGTAACGCTGCGTTTTTATGCCCAAGGCTTTGGCAAAGATGGGCTGACCCTTAGCCGGCCCAGGCTGCTATCAATGCCAAGTCCAATAACACAACCTAGATATGAGAGCGATTCTACTGTATATATGACCCTTAGGTGAGGTTCTATTTCTTAACTGTTGAATAAAGCTAACCAATTTGATTTAACGGTTACGAGATAGAGCCTCACCTAAGGGCAATATATAAGGCCCTCACTAGAACTAAATTATTTTTGAAGAACGAACATAATTATCATATATTTTTTAATCAATAAGGAAGGGAAGAATTGAAAGTTCTTAGAAGCCTCTCAATCATTAACTATTGAATGCATATTGTTGTCCCACATTTATTAAATACATTATTGATCAAATCATACATCAGGATAAAACCTAAGTAAGTCTCATTTTGGTGAGAAATATAGATATATATATATATATATGTAAAACATGCATGTAGCTTTTGTGTTTCCGCTCAATATATACGTCATTTTTGGAATAAACATCCAGGGAAGCTCATGTATTGGATGGCGTGGATTGGAATTCTCAAAACTACTCATAACATATTTTGTTAGAGTACAACATATAAGTGAAACCCACTTGAATTTGTTCATAACATTACTCCAGTAATCAAACTGTACAATTGGGATAAAGCTAATTCATAATAAGGGAGCACTTAGCTCTCTCTCTCAATAAAATCTTTCAGACAACTGCATTATCTGTATCTATATCAACTTTTCAACAAAAATTTAATGCATTATTTTTTCGTTTAGAAAACTAGTGGTAGATAAGGTGATTACAATAAATAACCGCATAATATCATTGACCTCTAATTAGGTTTAACTCATAATATCGAAAACTCTCTCCCTCTATCTCTCTAAAACAAAAACCCCCATTGACTGCAACAATAAGGGGGGAGGTGGCTTCCGGCCCTCCTCCCCTCCCCCCTCCTCATTTCCTATCTTCCCCCTATACCCTTTCTTATGCTGCTCTTCTCTCTCTCTCTCTCTCTCTCTCTCTCTCTCTCTCATCCCCCTCTGATTCTCCTTAGCTTCCTTTAGTTCTACCCTTCTCTCTTTTATACTTCTCCCTCCTCATTCTCGTGACCTACTAGGCTATGTACCGACTGTTGTGTTTTGGATCTGGACAGATTCGTTGTTCGTTGGTCATAAGTGGTGATCTTTGCAGGTTGTAGTTGTTGTGGTGAATCTACTTCAGATCTGGGCTGCTGTGGTGAATTTACTTCAGATCTGGGTGGATCTATGTGATGGTGGTGTTAGAGTCTTTTGGTTTTCTGTTTTGTGTTTAAAATAAGGGTTGCAACTCTTCGGAGGTTGCCTTGGGTCCTCACTTTGGGTGAGGTTATAATAACTGGCAACAATTAATGTCTTTTGTTGCGAGAGGTTGTTGGTGCTCCCCTTTGGGAGAGGTTCATGATCTACCCATACGTGTTGGTCTAGTGCCAGTCCCGATTATCTCTTGGCGTGTTGGCTTTATACTAGGATTATGTCCTTGGATGCTGTTTTGGGTGATGTCTTGGGGTGGTACCATAGCAGACAATTTCAATGTATCCTAGTGTAATTTGTATGAGTCCTGTAGTGGGTTTGTGTATGGGTTATGTTTGTAAGGCCTTTGGGCTTTTGTACTCTATTTTATCAATGAATTTCCATCTTTTGACCAAAAAAAAAAAGGTGATTACAATAAATTTGTAATCTTTATACACACTATGGCCCTGTTCGGGATTTTTTTTTTTTTTTTTCCATTAAAAACCTACTTAACTTTAAAATTAAGCAGTTTAAGGTGTTTGGTAAAAATAAAATATCCCGATTATTTTAAAAGTAGTGGTCTTTTAACAGCAGCTTTTAAAAGCAGACTCTGCGGTTGCTTTTCAAAGCTGCTTTCAAAAAAAGCATAGATGAACATTTAATGAATTTTTTTAATTCCCAAAATGTCATCATTCATTTTTTAAAATGACACCACCTCCACTTCCACATCCAACTCCACCACTTGCACTATCACATTCACTACCTCCACAACCACAGCCACCGCCACCACCACCACCACCACCACCACCATCACCACCTCCTCCAAAACCTCCACATCCACCACCACCACCATGCTACCACTACCACCAGCTCCACAACCGCCATCCCCACCACCACAATTACCACAACCACCAACTCTGCCTTCATTTCCACCACCAACTCCACTCCATCACTACCACTACCACCACATGATTAGTGTATAACACTTTTAATATCATGTCTATTTTAGTTATTATTCACAGTTACAACAATTTTATTTTACAATTTACCAAACGGTTTTAACATTGCATTTTGTACTAACAACATTTTAAAAATAGTGTTTACCAAACATGTAGCTGCTTTACTTTACAACTAATTATTTTTAAAGCACAGCAGAAGCAACTTTTTTTAAAAGTGACAGCAATCCCAAACTAAGCCTGTATGTATCCATTTTGAGTTATTTACACTAACACCTCCAGAAATTTTATGTTTTTTCACAAAACTCCTTGAGGTTTTTGAAATTACAAGAACACTCCTTAAGATTTTAAATTGTTTTCACAAAACTCATTTTCATTCAAAGATTGATTATTTTATAATAATAAAAATCTTCAAATGACAAAGTTGGCCTTTGAGATTAGATTGCATATATTTCATTGAGGTTAATTTTGTCATTTGCATAAGGTTTTTTATTTTTATTTTTTTATTATATAAATGAAATCATAAATTTCTATACAAACAATCAATGAAAAGGGATTTTGTGAAATCAAACTGAAACAAGACTTGTGTTTTTCTTCTTCTTTTTTATTTTTCTTTTTTAATTGGACATTGTGCTCTTCTCTTCCCTCTCTTTTCATGCCTCTTTCCCGTAAGCTTCCTTGCATTTTCCTGACCTTCAATCTTAGCCGTCCAGCAGATCGTGCAGCCAGCAGCCACAGAAAGCGACCCCTGCCTCTCTCGCGTCCATGACGTGTTGGCTAGAACGTAGGGACTTTTGCTTCTGTTGACTGAAACGCTCGAGGACCTTGACCGTGACTTTGGGTAGTTCAATAATATATTCATCTGCTGCTCAAGGCCAAAACCACTGCCCCGTAAAAAACTATCAATTTGTAGTTGGTCTGATCTGAACCAATATCAATTAATGGATGCCAGGAATGCTGCCTCCTCTTCATCCTCACCATCCTCCTCCTCAAGTACTCGGAAGTACCAAGTGTTCTTGAGCTTCAGAGGTGAAGACACACGCAAGGGCTTCACAGGCCACCTCCACGCCGCATTATCTGATGCCGGAATCCGCGCCTTTCTTGGCGACAACGAGCTAGAAAGAGCGGAATTTATAAAAAACCAACTGGAGCAGGCAATCCACGGGTCCATGATCTCAATAATTGTCTTCTCAAAGCGGTATGCCGATTCCAGTTGGTGTCTTGATGAGCTGGTGAAGATCATGGAGTGTAGAGAGAGATTGGGGCAAAAGGTTATTCCATTGTTCTATAATGTTGATCCTTCAGATGTCCGGAAACAGACTGGTAGTTTTGCACAAGCATTTGAGAAACATGAAGCGGGCATCTGTGAAGGTAAACATGAGAAAGAAAAGGTACAGCGGTGGAGAAATGCTCTCACTCAAGCTGCAGATTTGTGTGGGGAAGATCTTAAAAATGCTGACAATGGGTAATTA